TAACCCATAGTAGTATAAGATGGAATGGCTGCTGCAATCTGCACCATCACTGCAGTTATAATAGTAAACAGATACATTTTATAAATAGCCAAGATTGGTTGATCAATAAAGATAGTGTATTGGCTTTTATATTCCTCAACTGCAAGGTTTTATTCCCACATTCGAATCAAATACAGCTTTACAATCCATTCCAACAAATAATAAAATAGTTTAAACATCCTTCAAGTCAATATTACAAATTCACATACATGCAAGTTGAGTTTATTGTGTCAAAGTGTAAACAGAATTGCAAAAATATATCAAGCATGGGAAAATTCCCGGTCTGGGTATAATAAGCTTTTTAGGTGTGCTAACAAAAAATGGGTAGATTCAATTATTACATGCCTACACCAACTCCTGCACCGTATCCTGCGCCAACTCCTGCACCGTATCCTGCACCAACTCCCGCGCCATATCCAGCTCCTGATCCTGCTCCCCACCATCGTCGTTCCAAGCGTGTATTATCTTGAACACCTTTACACTCACCAATCTTGGCATCACAGCTGCCTAGTTGCTTGGCACGACATGATAGCGATTTGAATTGCAATTCAAGTTTTGCCGTGGCTTCACAAACACGATCGAGTTGCTGCAGTAGCTGTGTTTTTTGGTTACCTTGATATTGCTGTTCAAGATTAGATGATGCACAGTCCAACAATGCAAGTTTTTGCAATGCAATGCCACGTATGAATCCACGCACTGCATTGGCTCGATCTACTGCTGCAGACTTGTCTTCACCACACGACACATCACTCTTGATTGCATTTTCTTGACATGTGGAAGCCGCATTGATTCCGGCACATGATGGTTTCATACCGCTCTTGACATCAGACCATGAATTCATAACCAATGGACTAGCAGTCGTGAATCTGACCATATTGTTGCCAAGACGATCATTCAAATCATGCAAACGAGTCAATGCATCATGACGTGCACCAAACGATGAATCAAACGATGAATCAGGCATTGCTGGTTGTTGAATACTGGATGCGTGCAATCTATCCAGCATGTCATGGATGGTTGACATTTGTTGTTGGATTACATTTTGCAAATTCTGGATGATGTTTGCGTAATCGTCAACTGAACAGACGGATGATTGATGTGGAATATCAATGTTTTGAGTATCAGCAGTGTTTTGTGGAAATACTGGTTTTGAAAACGTTGGAGCTGAAAAAATCGGGATTCTGGCTGCATCCTGAATGGCAGGTCCAGGTCCAGGTCCAGACTCAGATCCAAAACCAGACTCAGATGACAGGCCAGGACCAGATCCAGATCCAGGACCAGTATCGAGACCAGTGTTTTGATTTTGGTTGATAGACGGTGCATTAAACTGGAGTCTGTCATTGATGGCAGGAACAGCAATGACTGCAGAAGCAGTGATAATCACAGTCGAAATAATAGTAAACTTCATAATAGACAAATTAACGAGCATGTTATACACCAAATCAGATGTTTTTATACTTGCACATCAATACAATATTAATGCGAATCATGACACGCAGAATAGTTTAATTCAATTACGAGCATGTCATTAAACTCTAATTAAACTATAAGCTTGATTTGATTCACACAAATTAACGTAAACTGCATCATCATGTAGTAGCAACAATTTGTAGAATACTGCTAGAATACTGTATGTTTCAAACAGTTGGTTGGTGCAGTGTTGTAACATGCACTTGGATTCTGACTACAGATCAAATGATCATCGTTTAATTACACCATAATGATGTAAATGGAATGTTTTTGTATTGGTATTGCAATGAATGTGACTGTTTTAGTTTGTAGTAAACACTGGTTGAATACTTGTTACACTCTCATATTAAAGATTGACTTGATGGACATTTTTGACTGATGCAACATCCATCATATCATACAAACGATAGTTTTGAACTGAAATAGTTGTTCATTTCTGGTAGTCATACGTTGTACAATCACCAGATTGATGTACTGCAATGCATAGATTAAACTGTTTTGATGGCAATCAAACTGTACACACATTCGTATGCTAAAATCAGATACGTTTACGTTATAGTTCAAGAAACCAAGAATTGCATGTCTTGAGAATGCAACTCTGCATGCCAATCACCAGAAGACTTGTAAAAAAGCTCAATGAAAATGTTGTACAGTAAATGCAATGTAAATCATCATATGAGATTGGCAGTTTATTATATATTGACACTCGTATTGGGTGATCCATTTTGCGTGAATACGACTGTATAAACCATTTAATCACTTGAAATGCCCAACCAATCGATTAATAATCAAACTCGATCCATGTGATTATAATTTAAATATTTATTTGTTTAGGTAAGTCGTCATCTTCATCTGTTGCTCCATATGCAGATTGCCCACGTCTTGAACTGAGCAGTCTAGATGATCCACTATCTCTTTTGCCAGTACTGCTGATGGATACGCTATTTAATACTCCCATTTCAATTTCATCGTCTCCAACCATATCATTCAAAAACCTTTGAATTTCATCATCAATATTCTTGCCAGTAATTTTTGCATAGTGATCTACTTGCTTCAGCAACTGTTCCTTATGATACTCTTGATATTTCCGAGGATCTCCTTCATAGTTGTCCATAAAATGGAGTTCATGAGGAAGAGCGTGTTTAATTTGTTCTGCCGCATCTTTGATAAACGGTAAAGTGAGATACAAAGCGGCAACACCACCAGTGAATATACACGGGACAAGGAGAGCATATTCGTGAATAGAAAGCCATGCGATTTGACCACACATGCCACCTGCAATAAACCCAAAAAGAATAGGAACATGAACTTTGAGACGCCATAACTCGGCCTTGGTATCAGATCGACACGCTTGACCCAAGATATTTCCTACATCTGTAGCGATTCCTGTCATGTGTGTTGTGCGAACAGCCAACCCAGAGTAAGAAGTCACCATTGCGTTTTGTAATCCGCAAGCAAATGCTGCAGCCCATTCGCCCAATACCAACTCTCGACGCAAAAACATAAACGATGTAAACAACGCAGCAGATTCTATACACAGTGTTATTCCGTAATTGGCACCAAGTTTGAATCGGTTGTCACCCACTATAAATCCAGCCATAAACGATCCAAATGTAAATGATACAATAATAGATACGACCAAAAGAAATGTTTCCCAGTCTTGCTGAACAGCCGATATAGCAACCCGAGAAACCGATCCAGTGACATGAGAGACCGCACACCTATAGGTTCAGTTGATAATTGTGTCAATGTGAACAGGTTTTAGTGAGCAGTCACCAATTGGTTTGTGGTATCAGAAAGTGTTGTGTTTTGCAATAACACAATCCATAGCATTATGAAAACAAATCATTAGAATACAAGAAGCGTGTTGTAGCAATCAATAGTTTGAGTCAGACTAACGCGAGTTTGGAGCATTTGATATGCAAAATGGTCAAAGAAATATGTATTCAAGTGGTAAATAAACACTATATATTGTGTTGTGCACTATGAATTGAAATACATGCAAGGATAGGATAGACTTCAATCATGTATTCAAGTCAAACTGAAGATGGCGCGACAAGATACACGGTTCATGGCACTTGCCTGGAAATAACCTGCCATAGAGACGACATTGATGAAACCGGCATTAGCAGCAAGAGCTACACCACCAGCAACAATGGTGTAAAACTCCCGTTCTGGCAAGTTATTCATGGTTTAGCGTATTATAGTGAATGCAATTTTGTAGTCTATGAAATACTGTCAGGGTTTGCAAAACAATGTTTGGACAAGTTGATAGGATTTAAATCACCGACATATTCACGTAAAATGGAACATTAAATAAGGATGTCAAAATACATGATACAAAACCAACTTTATGAAATGGTTGTGCCAGTTTACTGGACAACATTGGGTCATTTGAACTGACAAAGTTGACTGGTATCCTGGTGATTGAAATGAAAACAAGTGTATCAATCCTATTGGCCAAGTTATCTCCGGGTACTATAGCCTATTATCAAATACTACCTGTTTGAGCCACAAGCCTCAAACAATCTTTTACTTTAAGAACTAAGACACTTTCTTATTAAATAAACATCCTCTGAATCAATCTTCTAAATATCATCTAAATATCATCTGACATAACTTCGTTATTATCTATTAAGTTCAACTCGTTATTCTGTTGACTTTAATTTGCGTGACTACTTCCTGATAATCATTCAAGATCTCTTCTGACCGATCTTTTCTACAGCGGCAGATTATATATTATTACCTTATACTTTACTAATTGAAAAACTCAGTCTCTTTCTCTATTTTCTATCTCTATACTTCTTGCGCGATAATCAAAATCTTTAACAAAAACAGGTTTAACCCCATCGATAAGAGCCATGTCAGTAGTATATAGGGCATCCGATGATACCAGTTTTTAGGCGAGATTCTCTGCTGAAATGGTCAAAAGTTAATAGTATAATAATTTCATATCAAACTTTCGTCATAAATAATTCTTTCCGACATTCAACGCATTTAGTTTCTAATTAGAATCTGAATTTGACTTTTAGAATCTGAGCAGAATCTAATTGCCTGAAATTTGTTATATTTTGTTTCTATGCAAGACTACTCAGTTGTTATTTTCAAAATTTGGTAAAGCTATTTTTATTATCAAACAACAATTAACGTTCAATGATGAAATCCTCCGGCTTTTTGACATCGTAACGATATCCTGATGGATAAACGCAAATGAATCCAAAGAGTTGTGCGATCTTTCTAATATCCTCTGGAAACAACGTACCACACAACACCCCAACATACTTTGTGACATTTCGAAATTCTGGCTGGGCATTGGCTTGAAACTCCTTGAACTTGCGAATTCTTGCAGGGAGCTTGTTCACTTGTTTATCGGTCATATTATGCTTGGCTTCACATAAGTACAGGACATCGCCATCTTTAAAGACAGCGTCCCACTCCTGGACAACAGTCTTTCCGTCTGCAGCCATAATGTCCGTTGGCATCACCTCGATTGAAGGACCAAGATGGGTAGCAAAGAATCGCCTCACGGCCAAGTGAGTTTCCTCCTCCATAACTTGATCGTCATTCTGCTGCCAACGTACTTCGTCAGCAAACGACCGTTCGTAGCGAGAATATACATTGTACTTTTCTCCATTGATCAACTGCTTGAACTTGATAATCTTGTCCTTGGGATTGAACAGCTGATAGAGGGCTGAGCCTTTTCCTTCGAGGATCTGTTTCAAATCATCATTTGATTCAACAAGATATTTGGAAAAGCTATCCAAAGGACAGCACTCTTCATCAATATCCTGAATGAAGATGGTTTTCTGAGCCGGCGCAGAGGATCCCAGAGTCTTGACAATCAAAGGTAATTTGGCGGACAGACCAGCAGTGGAAATTCTCGCAAGTGGAAGATCAGGTTCAAGTGGAGCATCCTGGAGTGACTGATGGATAGAGATTTGGTTGGAGTCAACGGCAGAGAATTGGTTTGGGAACTTCTGCTTGATGGCCTTGGCAAGGTCACTGATATTTAAGCAGCCAGAAGTAGACACGAGTGGCTTGACTGCCATTATGTTTCACCCATAGTTTGGCCAGGGTGCTGCTGTGACGAACTATTCTCAATATTGTTGTTTTTTTAAAAGGAAAGAAAAAAAATTGCAAGGTCAGGGGCGTTAAATGGGCTGCTTGGAATGACGTATTATTGGAATTGAGACTAATTCATATTCAAAAAAGTTCACATTTTAAAACATTTCAGTGGTGTCCGAGTATAAAAATGACAACTGCACTTCAAATGAGTCAAATGTGTGATTACAGCCGTTTTACTGACTGGGTCAAGAAGCACCTAATATAACCTTGGACAATCATCACTCAAATTGACATCAAATTTGTCCGGTCTATAATAAAGGAATTGACCAGTTCAATGAGAACACCAGAAACTGCCAAGAAAACAGACACTGAAAAGTCTAAAGCATTCTTATTGAAATGCTACACTACGACATCAATCTCTCAGTGTGCTGGATGAGTCGTCGTCATACAACTTTACTGGGTTGGATGCTGTGGAAATCAAAAACCGGCTGACGAAATCCATTCAATTGAATATGAAGCAACTCAAAGCGACCGATGTACTGGCATCAAAACAAGTAATGCTGATAGCAAGGTCCTTGATGAAACTACTGGAAACATTTGGGGATGGCCAAAAGAGACGCTTCTTGGACTATGTCAACAGCAGACTTGGCATCTCCAAATCATCCTACTACTACTACATGGAGTATTATGCCTTTATGTCAAAGTATCCGAAATTCCAAACGCTGGCAGTGTCCTTTAGAGTGTTTAAAAGTATGATTCCAAAAATCAAGGAATGGTTTATGTCACCAGAGTGTCAAGCTTTGGACTCTTCTAATTTCTACTCTGAGCATTATTGGATGAGTGTTGATGATGAAATGGATGACGACGATATGAATGTTTTAAACGAACACAATTCCACCGCGGTGGAAAACAACAACTGGCAGCAACTTCTGTTGGAATATCCAGACGGATACTCCTAAGTGGTAATCTGTGACAAAGCTAATTCTAATAACGCACACTTTGAATCTCCAAATTAAACCCTTCATCACCACCAATCCATATGCTCCAACTCCATTATCCTCATTTCTGGAGATTCATGTTCCAAGTAACGAGTAAATGGTGTCATTATGTAGATATAGTCAACTACAGGAATCAATCCCATTGGCTCAACTACTTTTCGTTTACAACCACTAATTACCAAATGTGTTACTTGTTCGTATCACAAGACAAACAATCAACTACTATAAAAGCTAATATGCTTAATCTTATCAATAAACAACTCGTCAAACTATTTCAACTTTCTAATTACTTTATCACACCTTTTTACTATACTTGAAAAGACCAAGTCTGCTGATCTTGGATTAAAGTGCAACATCCATTACACTTTTGATTTGTTCTCTTCTGATAACTAACAGTTACAGATTATATTTTATCTAATTTATACTTTATACTTTACTACATTTATACAAATCACGAAGCTCCAAAAGTTCTGACAGGTATCTTGTTGATTCACACCAGTTGTGCCAATACTGATCAGCCTTTGATAAATAGGGTTCGATAGCAATTGCTGGTGCTGCCGTCAAATGGCTTCGTGACAATTTAGGTATAATTTCAGAAGCATCGCAAGTAAGCGAGTTTGCTGCCAAAGTGCCTGATACCGCTGGAATTTATTTTATCCCAGCATTCTCCGGTCTGTTTGCTCCCTATTGGCGTGACGATGTTCGTGGATGTATTGTCGGTATGACCCAATACACCAACAAATATCATATCTGTCGTGCTGCACTTGAAGCTACTGCATTTCAAACACGCGAGGTTTGTTTTTGGTTGAAGTGGCATTATTGATGTAGAATTAATCATTTCCCTGTTTTTACTTGCAGATTTTGGATGCCATGAACTCTGATAGTGGTCAGGCTATTCAGCTCCTACGCGTAGATGGTGGTCTGACTAATTCAGATATATGCATGCAAATTCAAGCTGACATTGCTGGTGTTGGCGTCGACCGTCCATTGATGCGTGAAACCACTGCATTAGGGGCTGCGTTGGCTGCTGGTCTTGCTGTTGGAGTGTGGAAATCACTCGATGACTTTTCTCATGTTAATCAGTCTGACATTTTTAAGCCAGCCACTAGTTCTAGTGATCGTGAGGAGCAACTGGCCGGATGGAAAAAAGCAGTTCAGAAATTGTTTTAACTTTACAATGAATGCGTCGTATTACATAAAGAGTTTATGATTGTTTTTACTATTCTATTATAAATGCTCGACATTTCATGTCCACAAAAATTGATTTTATTGAGAATTTAAACTTGCCTTTTTGGCTGCAATATCGACCAGCAAATCCATCTCACCGCTCTCCATACACATTTGGTAAAGTAAGCCCGATTTGTCCTCAAGTAACTCGTGGGGTCTACCATATTGCGATACCTGACCCCTATCCAACACAAGAATCTTGTCATAATCCATCACTGTACTGAGACGATGAGCAATAGTCAGCACGGTTGCATTGGAGAATTCTGTTCTGATTGTGTTTTGGATTCTAGCGTCAGTGGAATGGTCAACACTAGCAGTAGCTTCGTCCATAATGATGATACGCGAAGCTTGAAGGAGTGCACGAGCCAAACATAGCAGTTGTCGTTGTCCTTGAGAGAAATTTGTACCGTTTTCTTGAACAGGGGATTCAAGATCAAAACCCTTGCTGACAGCACTTGCCTCATTGCTAGAGGGTCCACACAATGGCTCAGTAGCATCATCAATCTTGTCGGTACTATGCGGTATATTGGAATTTAATGTTGCGCTGGATTCGGATTTGGATTCGATAGAGCCTCTGGGTCCATTTGCATCATCATGACCAGGTCTGGTTTGCATGCTTTCAAGGAAATGAACACGTTTCAACGCAGCCCATAGAGCTGCATCATCGTGCTTATCAAATGGATCAAGATTGGTTCTAACAGTACCTGAAAACAGCACAGGATCTTGTGGGATAATCGTTAGTCTTGATCGCAAGTCCCATAATCCCATCTTTCCAATATCCATCCCATCAATCAGAACGTGACCCGAGTCATGAGGAACAATGCGAAACATGGCTAAAGAAAGTGTAGACTTTCCTGCACCAGTACGTCCGACAATGCCTATTTTTTCAAACGTGCCAACATGGAAAGATATCTTATCCAGAACTAGGGGTTGATCAGCAGAATAGCGAATGGATAAATCCTTTACATCGATACAACCATGATGTGGCCAATTCTCTGCAGGACGGTAGTCATCAACAATTGCAGCAGCATCTTGCTCAATCTGCAAGTATTCATCTATTCTCTCGACAGAATTCATGCTCATTTCCATCATAGCGTAAGACCAAGTCATCCATAACAACTCGAAAACAAGTTCAGTGACATACGCAAGACACAAGCCAGCTATTCCAGCATCCAGTGTATCCCTTGCCAATACAAGCGATATTGTTGTTATTAAAACAATAGACCCAGAGACCAGATCGCATCGAGCTGCAAACCATCGATTGCAAGCCCACATGTAAAAATGTGCTTGTTGGTTTTTATCTACGAGATTCATATTGTCGTTTATAAATTGTTCCTCGACTCCAAAGGCACGAATCGTAGCTGCGCCTTGAAGAGTTTCGGAAAATTTGGCATAGATGGGACTTTGGGATACAGACTCGAGACGAAGAAGTTCACGCGAAGCAAGAAGGTATGATTTGGAGATGTTATAAAACATAATAACAATAGGAATAAACAACAGGAGCAATAATGGGGCTACCATGGTAACAATCATTAGCACGGTAAAAGCTCGAAGCGTACTCCCAAGAAATCCAGAAACGCCATTGCTCACTTTCATGTCAATACATTCAATATCTTTTGAGAATCGGTTCAAAATGCGACCAATAGGAGTAGTATCAAAGAATCTCATGGGTGCGTTTAGAACCCTATTCAACATGGATGAATGCAGTTTCTTTGAAGCATTGTAGGATCCAGCATATTGAATAGTCAACAAAAGTTGTTCAAAAAACACGACACCAAGTCCAAGACCGCCGTAAACCCAAATGTAAAAGCTTGGATCACGAACAGGAGTAGCTAAAGGTACGACTGGTGGGTGTGAAACGGACTGCATTAAAAAGACATCTGGCATGAACAAAGCTGTCGAGTTGATATCCGTATGCTTGTATGAATCAGCCCACACCTTGAGCCATAAGTCGTCCAAACCCTGAACTGCGCGTGCGCTAGTAGAAATAAGTAGATAGGCGACAAGAAACCACCAACCGCCAACCGCACCTATGTAATGTTTATAGATGGCGAGTTTCACTGATCCGGACTGTTTGGTTTCATCTTCAACAAGTTTGCCCTTGGTTTTGGCACCTTCATTTGACTCATTGGCTGCATTGTTTTCGACTTTTGAAGTTACATCGCTCTCAATCTTGTCACCTTTGATCGCGTGAAGTAAATGGTTACCAAAACTATCGCTACAATCGGTTGTTTCAAAATGTGTTTGAACGGCTGCGGGCAAGCCTTGAGCAGCAATACGACCATCCTTGAAATAGACAATATAATCGGAAAACGGCAAGACAAGACCAGTAGCATGTGTAACAAGAATTACTGTGCGACTTGCAAGCAGTCCGCGAATACACTTTTCAAACAGATGCAGCGCTGTAGGAGCATCGACAGCACTCAATGGGTCATCAAGAATCACTGATTGGGCGGTAGAGTAGCAAGCACGAGCAAGTGAGATTCTCTGTTTTTGACCCCCAGACATGTTGATTCCCTTTTCACCAATCTCGGTTTGATCACCAGCAGGAAATGTTTCAAGATCTCTAACTAATGCACATGCTTCAATCACCTTGGCATACCTATCAGCATCGTACAGTGACCCAAACAAAATATTGTCCCTCACAGTTGCATTTTGAAGCCAGGCAGTCTGGGATACATATGCAACGCCGACGTCACGAGAGTTGATATCTGGTGCAGATCTTGAATAAACTGAAGGAAAAATGGTACGACCTTGAAGAGTCTTCATCTCACCCAACAAAGCATTAATAATGCTGCTCTTTCCTGCACCGGTTAGACCTACGATGGCAGTCAGTTGACCAACAGGGAATTTGACGTGAATATCTGAAAGCACAAAGTGATGATGCTGAGTTGTACTTGAACGATTCGTGACAGATTCACGGGGTGTATCGGTTTGATCTACAGCATCCAGATTGGGCTCAGTAGATTGACCCTGAATATTCCAAGTGAATGATGCATGGTCAAATCCAGGCTGAGTTTTGACAGTTTCCCAATTCTGTTCAAACAGATGATCGTTGGTGCTGCTATACTTGTCAAGCTCCGGCTGAGCCAAAAAAGTTTCATTACGACGAAGCGACACCATACCTTGGATGACATCCATAAGCAGATTAGGAAGCATCATAAGTGGAAATCTTAATGTCATAAACAATGACAACGAGGTGAACGCAGTGGTGGCAGTTAGCTGCTGTCCAGCAATCAGTGTGTAGGTCATAAAGGTAACAAACGACACCAAAACAGGAATGGACTTCCATGATATATTACTGAACGAATTGCTGATGAAGCACCAAATTAAACTATTTAGCTCGCCTTGACGTGCCTTGTTCACCTTGTTGAAGAACTCTGACTCCCAGCCAAAATATTTGATGACGCGGATACCTTGGAGCATTTCGTTGACAACACCAACACGAGCATCCATTTTGGCCATGTACATATCACCGACCTTGTATTGAAATTTGCTGACAACACTGACTATTGGCATAGTAATAACCATCACAGCGACACCAGCAATAGCAGAATATCCAAGAACGCCGAATAGAGCAACCACACAGGCAATAATCTGCAAGGGAGTGGTAAACACCCAAGGAATATACGCAATGATTTCACGGATACGACGGGTGTCCACTGACATAAGTGTGACAATCTTGCCAAGAGATGATTCACTGTCCTCGGACGAGGCTTTGGTGTCTTTTCCAGCACTTTTGGGATCTTTGCCATTCTTGTCATTCGACTGGTCGTCTTCACCCTTGTTGTGAGTAGTGGAAACACATCGACGCAGGGATTTTTTATATATTTCAGAAATGAGAACCGAACGAAGATGCATACCAGCTCTTCTGCCGTTATTGAAGTACTGATTATTACACCACGACTTGAGCATGGAACAACCAAAAAGTCCCAAAGCAAACACGAATCCCATGTATAGTGGTGAATCATTTGGATGCTCGATGAAATCTACAATCCTGTTTATGAAAAACGGTGGAGCCAGCGCAAGAGTAGTGTCTATTAGACAAAATAGTGTTGTCATGGCAAATCTCTGCCAAATCAAAAGCATGAGCTTGAAACCAAGGGATTTAAAACGAGTGCGGATGCGGCTGTAGCGATCGATAATGGAGCTGGAACAGTCGATCGGGTTGAGTGCCCAAATATCTTTATGTTCGAGGAACATACGGGAACTCAGTCGTATCAAGGGACTGACCCACGAAAAGTAGATGATACTGAAAATCGAAGCAGATTCTTCAGTACAAGGAACGGGAATAGGATTTCCGTTGACATCGGTTTGTGCTATAAGACGTTGAATGCGAGCATCTTCGCATTTGGCGCTAATTTTAACTGAACGGAATACTTCAATGATAAAAAGTAACATACTTGATGCGACCGAGGATATATGCAAGATTCTCCACCGCAATGCAGTAGATGTGGCAGGAAAATCTGTCAGAGCATGAAATGCATGAACAGCACTGCTTGCAAGAACCAAAAGAGCAAGATAAGGTGCAGGAAGAGGCATCCGCCATTCAGAGCTCCAAGAAACTAGATTGAGTCCAAAAGAGAATCGCAGTATTGCACTTGCCACGAATATCTAAATTCAAAATACACAATATTTAATCGAAAAATATAAACTGGATAAGTCACACCATACAACACTTTACAAAACGAGCTAGCAATCAAGTTGAATTACGCTACCCAAACAAGTATATTGGCGGCAGTGCCAGAAACAGCAAGCAGATTCCACGGGTCTGTTTGGTTGGTGCACAACAGAAACCACAGAAGCACGCACTCCACAGCTGCAACGAGCAAACAAAGTACTGCAACAGTCCGAGAAAGATAAACTCCGACAGTCCAAATAGTTTCCTGGGATGAGAGATCGCTAGCAGACTCATTGAGAGATGTACGGGGTAGCAATGGAGTAGTTTCCGAATCCTGCAGACTCGCGGAATGGTTAGGTCGAGACTGCGTGGCAGTGGTGGAAGACGAGACAACATTCGCTTCAGATATAGTGCTTGCAGTTGGTAGCGACATATAGCCAGCCCGATGGCTGGCTATCACCAGAGTAAAGCGCAAATATAATGGGATAATCACCATGGCAAATACAACAGGTACTGCCACGGATGCAATAATGTTTAACATTGTAGTGTTTAAACAGATATCAGTGTATGTATATAAAAATGTATATTGAGTGGAAGAATCGGAATATTTTGGGCTATTGAGAGTGTTTTTATAGCCATTCGGGTACGATTATGAACTGTCCACGAGTAATAAAGGGTAGCAAATGCGACCCGCGATGCTCAAGCTGCTCGCATTTGAAACGCTTATGTTTGATGATATGCTATATTCAAATGACTCGACCGAGTCAGTTTCTTGCAATAAAGTGTCGAGTCTTGACATAACCCATTTAGAGTGCCATCTAAACGGTTAGTCAGCAAAGTCGGCGGCATTCAGGTGCATGTGTTTGCGGTAGTCATTGAAGGCTATTTTATCTGCTCAGCAACACTAAACTCATCCGACACATCAGATTCCAATATTGGTTCGGTTTTTGTTTTTCATATTCCAAGGCTTGCTTTCCTGATCCTCCTCGAATGTTCCGAGATATTCCAGCAAAACACAGCTATTGGCAATCATATATCCAAGTGGACTAAATCTACAACGTCAGTTGTCGTTTTCAAGATGGCCAATCTCCTATATTTTGCTTGTAGGCAAACATGATGGGTATGATGGGGCAGAGCATAGCTATCCATGCGACAATACATGTTTTATAAGAATAGAGTCGAGGGGGTGCCAG